AATGCACTTGTTTTCAAGTATCAGAGTTATAAAATACTGGTTAAATTTACTGAAGATGCCTTCTTATAGGCTACCAAAGAAATGTTACAATATAAATGATGCTATTCGATAAAAATGGACACACAAATTGGGTTTCTTCTTTTAGAAATTTTCTATTCTCGAAAGGGTTTGGTTTTGTATGGAACGATCAGTATGTTGATTCTGAGGGTAAGTTTGTTTTAGAACTAACACGAAGATTAAAAGATATCTTTTTCTTTGCAAGAATGGTTTGAAAAGTTATCACTTTCCAGTAAATGCTTGTATTATAAGATGTTTAAATGTATTTTTGACGCCGAAATTTATCTTTCATATCTAAATGTAAAAAAGTATAGGATAGCGTTAAGCAGATTGAGATGTTCTTCACATGATTTATTTATCGAAAGTGGAAGATTGAAAAATGTCAAAAAAGAAAATAGAACTTTCAAACTATGTGATCTTTTCTTTTAGTTTGCCCTGCTTATAATTCCCTGAGAAAGTTGTATATTAAGCAATATTATTGTGCCCATCCAAACCTTCATAAATTTTCAGTATTGTTAAATAACAAAACACATACTTCAAAACTTGTCCATGTTTGCTTACTATGCCATGTTGTTTAGGACAGAATATATCTCAGACCACAATGTAACCGACAGTTGACTATTTTCTCTTCTTCATGTATATCACATGTGCGTGTAATATTGATTTATAAATGTGTTGTACTACAGTACCGGAAATAAATGATATATGACATGTTAAACTTGAAGGATTCTCTTTCGTCTTGTATGTCACATGTGCGTGTAATATTGATTTATAAATGTGTTGTACTACAGTACCGGAAATAAATGATATATGACATGTTAAACTTGAAGGATTCTCTTTCGTTGTGTATGTCACAATAGCTGGAATATAATCATTTAATTTTGTTGGATGAAATGATGTTTACTTTTAATGTTGTTTTAAAGTCTTATTGATTGTCTTAAGAATTAAAACACTGAAAGATTATTTGGGGTTAAATGTCTTTTAAATCTAAAACAACAACAAAATGTCTTCACTTTGAAAATTTGAAGACCTTAAGTCTTGCCAATGTACTGAAGACATTCTCTTGAGTTTTAGCTGTCTTAGTGTTTCAGTGGATCTGTGTATGGTGAGTGTATATGATGAGTGTATGGTGAGTGTGGCGAGTGTGTATGGTGAGGTGTATGGTGAGTGTATGGTGAGTGTGTATGGTGAGTGTATGGTGAGTGTGTATGGTGAGTGTATGGTGAGTGTATGGTGAGTGTATGGTGAGTGTATGGTGAGTGTGTATGGTGAGTGTATGGTGAGTGTGTATGGTGAGTGTGTATGTATGGTGGGTGTGTGTGGTGGGTGTATGGTGAGTGTATGGTGAGTGTGTATGGTGAGTGTATGGTGAGTGTGTATGGTGAGTGTATGGTGAGTGTATGGTGAGTGTATATGATGAGTGTATGGTGAGTGTGGTGAGTGTGTATGGTGAGTGTATGGTGAGTGTATGGTGAGTGTATGGTGAGTGTGTATGGTGAGTGTGTATGGTGAGTGTATGGTGAGTGTGTATGGTGAGTGTATGGTGAGTGTATGGTGAGTGTGTATGGTGAGTGTGTATGGTGAGTGTATGGTGAGAGTGTATGGTGAGTGTGTATGGTGAGTGTGTATGGTGAGTGTGTATGGTGAGTGTGTATGGTGGGTGTGTGAGTCATGTATGGTGGGTGTGTGTGGTGGGTGTGGTGGTGAGTGGTATGGTGAGTGTGTATGGTGAGTGTGGTGAGAGTGTAGTGGTGAGTGTATGGTGAGTGGCAGTGTGTATGGTGAGTGTATGGTGGTGAGGTGTATGGTGAGTGTATGGTGAGTGTATGGTGAGTGTGTATGGTGAGTGTGGTATGGTGTGTGTATGGTGAGTGTGTATGGTGTGGTGAGTGTGTATGTGGTGAAGTGTGTATGGTAGTGTGTATGGTGAGTAATGTATGGTGTGTATAGAGTATGGTGAGAGTGTGTATGGTGTGTGGTGTAGTGAGTGTGTGTGTATGGTGTGTATGGTGAGTGTGTATGGTGTGTGTGTGTGGTGGGTGTATGGTGAGTGTGTATGGTGAGTGTATGGTGAGTGTATGTGTGTATGGTAAGGTGGGTGTATGGTGAGTGTGTATGGTGAGTGTATGGTGAGTGTGTATGTGATGGTGAGTGTGTGTGGTGGGTGTATGGTGTGTGTGTGTGTGGTGAGTGTATGATGAGTGTATATGGTGAGTGTTTATGGTGACTGTGTATGGTGTGTGTGTATGGTGTGTGTGTATGGTGTGTGTGTATGGTGAGTGTGTGTATAGGTGAAGTGTGTATGGTGTAGTGAGTGTATGCATGAGTGTGTATGGTGTGGTGAGTGTGTATGGTGTGAGTGTGTATGGTGTGGTGAGTGTGTATGGTGAGGTGTGTGTATGGTGTGAGTGATTGCATATATGAGTGTGTATGGTGAGTGTGTATGGTGTGGTGCATGTGTATATGGTGTGGTGAAGTGTTTATAGTGTGAGGTGAGTGTGTGTATGGTTATGGTGAGTGGATATAAGAGTGTGTGTATAGTGTAGTGAAGTGTATGTGAAGGTGAGTGCATATGGTGAGAGTGTGTATGGTGTAATGATGAGTGCATATGATAGGAAGTGTGTATAGTGTGTGAGTGTGTATGGTGAGTGTGTATGCTGTGGTGAGTGTGTATGGTGTGAGTGTGTATATGGTGAAGTGTGGTGTGTGGTGGTGAGAGTGTATGGTGAGTGTGTATGGTGAGTGTGTATGGTGAGTGTATGGTGAGTGCATATGGTGAGTGTGTATGGTGTGGTGAGTGTATGGTGAGTGTGTATGGTGAGTGTGTATGGTAAGTGCATATGGTGAGTGTGTATGGTGAGTGTGTATGGTGTGATGAGTGTGTATGGTGAGTGTGTGTATGGTGTGGTGAGTGCATGTGGTGAGTGCATATGGTGAGTGTGTATGGTATGGTGAGTGTGTATGGTGAGTGTGTATGGTGTGGTGAGTGCATATGGTGTGAGTGTGTATGGTGTGAGTGTGTGTGGTGAGTGCATATGGCGAGTGTGTATGGTGTGGTGAGTGTGTATGGTGTGGAGTGTGTATGGTGAGTGCGTATGGTGAGTGTGTATGGTGTGGTGAGTGTGTGGTGAGTGCATATGGTGAGTGTGTATGGTGAGTGTGTATGGTGTGGTGAGTGTGTGTGGTGTATGGTGAGTGTATGGTGTGGTGAGAGTGTATAAGCTGAAGTGTGTATGGTGTGGTGAGTGTGTGTATGGTGAGTGTGTGGTGTGGTGAGTGTGTATGGTGTGTGTATGGTGTGGTGAGTGCATATGGCAGAGTGTGTATGGTGTGGTGAGTGTGTGTGTGAGTGAGTGCATATAAGCAGTGTGTATGGTGTGGTGTGTGTATGGTGAGTGTGTATGGTGTGGTGAGTGTGTATGGTGAGTGTGTATGGTGTGGTGAGTGTTTATAGTGTGGTGAGTGTGTATGGTGTGGTGAGTGCATATGGAGAGTGTGTATGGTGTGGTGAGTGTGTATGATGTGGTGAGTGCATATGGCGAGTGTGTATGGTGAGTGTGTATGGTGTGGTGAGTGTGTATGGTGAGTGTTTATAGTGTGGTGAGTGTGTATGGTGTGGTGAGTGGATATGGCGAGTGTGTATGGTGTGGTGAGTGTGTGTGGTGAGTGCATATGGTGAGTGTGTATGGTGTGGTGAGTGCATATGGCGAGTGTGTATGGTGTGGTGAGTGTGTATGGTGAGTGTGTATGCTGTGGTGAGTGTGTATGGTGTGGCGAGTGTGTATGGTGAGTGTGTGTGGTGTGGTGAGTGTATGGTGAGTGCATATGGTGAGTGTATGGTGTGGTGAGTGTATGGTGAGTGTGTATGGTGAGTGTGTATGGTAAGTGCATATGGTGAGTGTGTATGGTGAGTGTGTATGGTGAGTGTGTATGGTGAGTGTGCGTATGGTGTGGTGAGTGCATATGGTGAGTGTGTATGGTGAGTGTGTATGGTATGGTGAGTGTGTATGGTGAGTGTGTATGGTGTGGTGAGTGCATATGGTGTGAGTGTGTATGGTGTGAGTGTGTGTGGTGAGTGCATATGGTGAGTGTGTATGGTGTGGTGAGTGTGTATGGTGGTGTGTGTGAGTGATGCGTATGGTGAGTGTGTATGATGTGGTGAGTGTGGCTGGTGAGTGCATATGGTGAGTGTGTATGGTGAGAGTGTGTATGGTGGTGAGTGTGTATGGTGAGTGTGTATGGTGTGGTGAGTGTGTGTGAGTGCATATGGTGAGTGTGTATGGTGGTGAGTGTATATGAGTGTGTGTATGGTGTGGTGAGTGTGGTGAGTGCATATGGTGAGAGTGTATGGTGTGGTGAGTGCATATGGTGAGTGTGTATGGTGAGTATGTGTGTATGGTGAGTGCGTATGATGAGTGCGTATAGGTGAGTGTATGTGTGAGTGTATGGTGTGAGTAGTGTATGGTGAGTGTTTATGGTGAGTGCATATGGTGAGTGTGTATGGTGAGTGCATATGATGGTGAGTGGTGTGGTGAGTGTGTATGGTGAGTGTGTATGGTGAGTGTATGGTGAGTGTGTATGGTGAGTGCATATGGTGAGCCAGTGTATGGTGAGTGCATATGGTGAGTGTGTATGGTGAGTGTGTATGGTGAGTGCGATGGTGTGCATATGGTGAGTGTGTATGGTGAGTGCGTATGATGAGTGAGTGTGTATGGTGAGTGTGTATGGTGAGTGCATATGGTGAGTGCATATGGTGAGTTTATGGTGAGTGTGTATGGTGAGTGTGTATGGTGGGTGCGTATGGTGAGTGCATATGGTGACTGTTGTGAGAGTGTATGGTGAGTGCGTATGGTGTGGTGAGGGTGTATGGTGAGTGCGTATGGTGAGTGTGTGGGATTGATGACACCTGTATGCTTGTGCACATGAATTTGATGATTTTTCAGGGATTACACGGAAGGATGTGATCACAGCAAGTGCCCGCTATCTGGAGACGTCTGCTGAGGTGGCAGGGGGAGTAAGTCCACAATGTTCAAATGACACTGTACTTCTGGTGGAGGGATTGATAGACAGAGACAGATGGGCTCTCCAGTGTAAGTGAAGACATTAAAATGCATGTTTTTAAATTGAAATTTTGGTGTCCTTTGTAATAAAAATGTGAGAACTCCGAGAATATCCTAGCAGGGTTTTACCTTGTCTCACAATGTACCCCCATCAATACATTTTACAGATCCTTTCTGGTAACATGAGTGTCCTGTAAAGTACCGGAATGGTGGAGTGTACGTTGAACTTCAGATAATTACTTCAGAGCCTGGAATGAATCAGTGGTCATGTCTACAGTGGTCATGACTGATGGTGAAATAACAGACCCCGATAACTGGTCTAGGTATGCCCTCGGTATTTTGGGTTTTCTGCTTCCATTCTCTACATGCGGGACTCACTGTTATGTGTCTTGTAAAACCCAGTCCTAGTTTTGACAGTGAAGTTATGTGACCACTTATAATACTCGTAGAAAGCTAATTTTGTCTTTTCAGAGGTTTGGTCCTATTCCAGATCGTTACATGTGTGATAAAACTTGTGAAATGAGAAGGTGAAATTGACTCCTGAGGATACTTTGTGAGTCTTCATCTACCTTACTCGTGCAGATCTGGGTTAGAATTGGTCTTCAGCAACCCATGCTTGTTGTAAGACAAGGCTCGCTGACTTAGACTTTCACTGTATCCCAATTGCGTAGATCAATGATCATGCTGTTGATTACTGGATTGTCTGGTCCAGACTCAATTATTTACAGACCGCCGCCATATAACTGAAATATTGCCGGGTGCGTCATTAAAGAACCAAACTTCATCGACCTGTTTTGTTTATTTGAAGTTCTGGACTCATTTGGCAAGCCTGGCAGTGGTCTGCTGCTGTATCAGCTCCACTGGCTGGGGTCATATGATGAGTGCAACAGCATCAAGGTCGCGGTGGAGAAAAGTCTGCCAGACAACTCTACCGTGATCACAGAGCCCTTCCGCAGTCAGTACTGCATGGCATACTATCCTGTGACAGCACAGGTGAGTTGTGCATACCATCCCGTGACAGCACAGGTGAGTTGTGCATACCATCCCGTGACAGCACAGGTGAGTTGTGCATTCCGTCCTGTGAAGGTTGATGCATACCGTCCCCTATCACTTCATGTGGGTTTGTGCATACCATCCTGTAGCTCCAGAACTGAGATGGTTAGTTCACAATCATCCTGTGTGTGCAAGTTGTTGAGGAAACAAGTCTCTCTGTGAGGAAACAAGCCTCTCTGTGAAAGGACGAAACAGTAACCAACCGACTCTTCAAATGCAGAACTTTGTCACTCTAAATTGTGTTGAGCTGCATGATTTACTTTATTTCTCCTCAAGATAAAGAGTAACTTAAAGCCTGTCCACTATAACATCGTAAAGTACAATACAGTCACGGCATGTCTTGCTATACAGATGGTGGTGGAACTAGGAACGTGTTTCCCGGACTCCTGCAGTGAGAAGGACGTTGCGATGATTCTCAATGGAGGTTGGTTGCAGTTGCATAATTTGTATTTTTGATGCTTGTTTCAGTTTTTATTATTAATATATATATTTATATAATTGTTTCTTGAAAAAACAATTGGCAAAAAATTAATTTGAAACTGTTTGTATTTAGAACATTTACACAAACTTTTTTGTATATAACATATGTATACGCTTACACGTCAAAAATTTGAAAGTGACAATGTGGCTTTGTTCAGTATGTGTATGAAACATTGAACATTATCAACAGCATTATTTTGTTAAGCAAAGGTTTATCCTGTGTAAGTTTAGCTTTGAAAAGTTATTATCACTTACATTTAATAAATGTTTCAGTCCTAACAGAAATAAACCTCAACTTGACAGTAAGCTCAGTGAGCTGCAAGGAGAGAGATGTGCCCATTTGACTCTGCTGCCTCCGTTGTCATGTGACTCTGCTGCCTCCTCAGTGAGCTGCAAGGAGAGAGATGTGCATGTAAGTATGTTCCTGTAACCATGGTAACTTGACAGTAAGCTCAGTGAGCTGCAAGGAGAGAGATGTGCCCATTGACTCTGCTGCCTCCGTTGTCATGTAAGTATGTTCCTGTAACCATGGTAACTTGACAGTAAGCTCAGTGAGCTGCAAGGAGAGAGATGTGCCCATTGACTCTGCTGCCTCTGTTGTCATGTAAGTATGTTCCTGTAACCATGGTAACTTGACAGTAAGCTCAGTGAGCTGCAAGGAGAGAGATGTGCCCATTGACTCTGCTGCCTCCGTTGTCATGTAAGTATGTTCCTGTAACCATGGTAACTTGACAGTAAGCTCAGTGAGCTGCAAGGAGAAGAGAGATGTGCCCATTGACTCTGCTGCCTCCGTATTGACTNTGTCATGTAAGTATGTTCCTGTAACCATGGTAACTTGACAGTAAGCTCAGTGAGCTGCAAGGAGAGAGATGTGCCCATTGACTCTGCTGCCTCCGTTGTCATGTAAGTATGTTCCTGTAACCATGGGAACAGATTATGTATGCAAAGTGATCTTTAGTGCATATGATTTGTCTTCTTGGTTTTCCAGAGTTGTGTTGGCTATTTTTGCCCTCCTCCTTTTGACCGGGACAGCATTTGACATAGTCTACATCCAGATGCCCAAGTGGAGAAGTGAGGAACTGAAGGTCCCTGTGTCCAGTAACAGTAAATACAGCGCTGATCTCCTGGGACTGTCTGGCAGTAGTCTGTCTTCAGGGGAACACACCCCGCTGCTTAGTGAACACATCCCCAGGCAGGCAGACGATGTCTACACACCAGGTGGGTGGTATGTGATTGGTTGGTGAATGATGATGGTGTTTTCTGATTGGTTGGTTATGCATGATGGTGATTTGTGATTGGTTGGTGATGATGTTTTGTGATTGGTTGGTGATTGACGATGGTGTTTTCTGATTGGTTGGTTATGCATGATGGTGATTTGTGATTGTTTTGTGATGATGTTTTGTGATTTGTTGGTGATTGATGATGGTGTTTGTGTTACACCAGAGTGAGATTGTGTAAAAGGTTTTGGCAGCAAGATGATTCTGGCGTCCTCGGTGTACACCAGAGTGATATTGTGTTGCAGGTGTTGGAGGCAATATGGTTCTGGCGTTCTTGGTGTACACTAGAGTGATATTGTGTTGCAGGTGTTGGAGGCAATATGGTTCTGGCGTTCTTGATGTACACCAGAGTGATATTGTGTTGCAGGTGTTGGCGGCAAGATGGCTCTGGCGTTCTTGATGTACGCCAGAGTGATATTGTGTTGCAGGTGTTGGTGGCAAGATGGTTCTGGCGTTCTCGGTGTACACTAGAGTGATATTGTGTTGCAGGTGTTGGTGGCAAGATGGTTCTGGCGTTCTTGATGTACACCAGAGTGATATTGTGTTACAGGTGTTGGTGGCAAGATGGTTCTGGCGTTCTTGATGGTGTATTGTGTTGCAGGTGTTGATAAGATGGTTCTGGCGTTCGGTGTACACTAGAGTGATATTGTGTTGCAGGTGTTGGTGGCAAGATGGTTCTGGTGTTCTCGGTGTACACCAGAGTGATATTGTGTTGCAGGTGTTGGTGGCAAGATGGTTCTGGCGTTCTCGGTGTACACCAGAGTGATACTGTGTTGCAGGTGTTGGTGGCAAGATGGTTCTGGCGTTCTTGATGTACGCCAGAGTGATATTGTGTTGCAGGTGTTGGTGGCAAGATGGTTCTGGCGTTCTCGGTGTACACCAGAGTGATATTGTGTTGCAGGTGTTGGCGGCAAGATGATTCTGGCGTTCTCAGTGTACACCAATGGGAGCAAGCTGCTCAGTACCAAGCAGTCCTCAGACAGTCTGCGGGCGGTGCATGGGATCCGTTTCATCAGCATGTCATGGGTTATACTTGGACACACCTACTTCTTTGGGCTTTCAATGTTTGGTATGTCCACTTTACATGTTCTATGTCTCGTTCATCTGTGTCTCAACAACAAGATCAAAATGGTATTTCTGTTAACATTTAGATTAAGGCAACAAATACCCTATTGTGGCACTTAGACACTAACCCTTAGACAAGGTGAAGCTGACCAGCCAACTGACCAGTAACAGTTGCCTTCAATAAGTGAGCGAATTTAGTTTTACGTCACTTTTAGCAATATTCCGGCAATATCACGTCAGAGAACACATTGTACTTATGCAAGGAATCTTCAGCGGGATGAGCAAGGCTACCCCACCGCCACTGCCTTCTATGAATCATTTCATGTCTCATTATTTTTATATTTGTTTTTATTGATTGCTATATATATATATATTAAATGAAGACAGTGGTAATCTAGTATATGCCCAGTACAAACAATATAGTAACAGTATTGATGAGCATATCAGTTCAGGTAAGGCTTACCTTCGACTGACCAAATAGTATCCCGTTCTAGATTTGAAACCGAAAAGAAGATGAGGCTGAGATTTGGTAAATGCTTTATGTTTTGTTTTATTCCAGCAAATATTTCAGCATTACCAAACCTGCTGACTCGGTGGACATTTGATGCCATTGATAACGCCACTGTCTCCGTGGACACGTTTTTCCTTCTAAGGTTTGTTCATCAGTCGAACTTACTCACACTGCCCAGTTTGTGTTCTGACATTAGGATCCGGGGTAGAATAGGTCTTCAGCAACCCATGCTTGCCACAAAAGGCGACTATGCTTGTCGTAAGAGGCGACTAACGGGATCGGGTGGTCAGTTTTGCTGACTTGGTTGATACATGTCATCGCTTCCCACTTGCGCATATCGATGCTCATGCTGTTGATCACTGGATTGTCTGGTCCAGACTCGATTATTTACAAACCGCCACCATATAGCTGGGATATTGCTGAGTGCGGCATAAAACTAAACTCACTCACTCTGACATTGGGTCAATGTTGGGACTGCGTCATCACTTACGATGGCCAATGTCGGATGCTGTCTGGGAGGTTACCATGCTTAAAGAACCAATCTTGAACTTTATCCGTGAGCTTAAAATGTCTGTCACTGCAGTTTGTATTTAGTGGTGTAGTTCATTTCTGGAGAAGAATTATCTCCCTTGGAAGTATTCTTAACGACATGTTGTTGTGACACATGGCGTCATGGAGGGTGGTCCGGACTGTTATGAAGGCTCATGGTGTCGTCTGCGAAAGTGAATGAATTATATATTTCTTGAATTTTTCAACATAGTAAATAGATGAACTCGTAACTTGCAGACGGAAACATTCTACGATGATTTGCGTAACATTGGGGTGTTGACAGTAAGGTGAATTAACTCACACATTCAGGTGCCTTGGCTTGTCATGTCTACTCAAAGTGTTTCCCCTTTTCAAGCTGGAAATATCCATAGACTGAGGAAAAGCTTTGGGGTTCCAGACAGTACCATTAAAAACTCAAAAGTAGAATAAACAATACATGTTGAAGTGTCCTCCTCATTCATTTCGTTTTCCCTTACCAAAGCCTTACATAGTTTCTTACTGTATAGTTTATTAGTATATATTCTGTTTGTTCCAAGTATTGGGTTGCTCAATAATGACATCAACCGCTAATCATGGTGACAACCAACACTATATTCTGTTACCTGCTGAGCTGAAATCGGTTAGTTTTTTCTTCATGAATATTTAGTATAGCTCATCGGACTGAAAGTTTGAATGCTGTGTTCAATATGGCTACTTTGGCAGCCATATTAAAACTTAAAAAGTAATTTCTGCCTCAAAAAGACTCTTGTGAAATTGTTCAATAGGCATACCTGGTTCTGTGTACTGTGATGTTGGACTATGAAGTATTTCTCACCCAAGAAGATTATAGTGCACTTAATTCTCTCAAAAATCGGTTTGGCTGTGTATTCCATGAAAACATGGTCGTGTGTTTCAGTGGGCTTCTGGTGGCATACCTGGCACTGAGGGAACTGAAGAAAGGTGAAGGTCGTATCAACTGGTTCATGTTCTACTTCCATAGATACTGGAGGTGAGGTTGATGTCTTTGGTCTTTCTGCTTGTAGTTTGAGAGGATGGTGGGCACTTTTTGAGGAAAAAGTAAAAGTTTTATTCTTTCGCATATGCCTGTTTACTAAAAATGAAATATATGCAGCAACACTGTTCGAAATAGACATCACCCAGATTTGTTCTTGGGCTTATAGGTTTAAATTTAAACCTACTTGCTGTTCATCATGACATATTCCACTGTTTCAGGTTGACTCCGCCCCACATGCTGTTCATCCTTATATATGACAACTGTTTCAGGTTGACTCCGCCCCACATGCTGTTCATCCTTATATATGACAACTGTTTCAGGTTGACTCCGCCCCACATGCTGTTCACCCTTTTATATGACAACTGTTTCAGGTTGACTCCGCCCCACATGCTGTTCACCCTTTTATATGACAACTGTTTCAGGTTGACTCCGCCCCACATGCTGTTCATCCTTATATATGTCCACTGTTTCAGGTTGATTCCGCCCCACATGCTGTTCATCCTTATATATGACAACTGTTTCAGGTTGACTCCACCCTACATGCTGTTCATCCTTATATATGACAACTGTTTCAGGTTGACTCCGCCCCCACATGCTGTTCACCCTTTTATATGACAACTGTTTCAGGTTGATTCCGCCCCACATGCTGTTCACCCTTTTATATGACAACTGTTTCAGATTGACTCTGCCCACATGCTGTTCATCCTTTTATATGACAACTGTTTCAGGTTGACTCCGCCCCACATGCTGTTCACCCTTTTATATGACAACTGTTTCAGATTGACTCTGCCCCACATGCTGTTCATCCTTTTATATGACAACTGTTTCAGGTTGACTCCGCCCCACATGCTGTTCACCCTTTTATATGACAACTGTTTCAGGTTGACTCTGCCCCACATGCTGTTCATCCTTTTATATGACAACTGTTTCAGGTTGACTCTGCCCCACATGCTGTTCATCCTGCTGTTTCAGGTTGACTCCGCCCACATGCTGTTCATCCTTTATATGACAACTATGTCAGGTTGACTCCTGCCCACATGCTGTTCACTGTTTCAGGTTGACTCTCGCCCACATGCTGTTCATCCTTTTACATGACAACTGTTTCAGGTTGACTCCGCCCCACATGCTGTTCATCCTTTTATATGACAACTGTTTCAGGTTGACTCCGCCCCACATGCTGTTCATCCTTTTATATTCCACTGTTTCAGGTTGACTCTGCCCTACATGCTGTTCATCCTTTTATATGACAACTGTTTCAGGTTGACTCCGCCCCACATGCTGTTCATCCATTTATATTCCACTGTTTCAGGTTGACTCCGCCCCACATGCTGTTCATCCTTTTATATGACAACTGTTTCAGGTTGACTCCGCCCCACATGCTGTTCATCCTTTTATATGACAACTGTTTCAGGTTGACTCCGCCCCACATGCTGTTCATCCTTTTATATGACAACTGTTTCAGGTTGACTCTGCCCCACATGCTGTTCATCCTTTTACATGACAACTGTTTCAGGTTGACTCCGCCCCACATGCTGTTCATCCTTTTATATTCCACTGTTTCAGGTTGACTCCGCCCTACATGCTGTTCATCATGGTATATGTCGTGATGTTCAAGTATTGGGGAAGTGGTCCGATGTTCCCCCAGACGGGCAACGACCCATCTTGTAAGACCAACTTCTGGGTGAACATGTTGTATCTGCAGAACATTGTCCGAGACGATAAGCAGGTAACCTTCCTGTCAATCTGCTGGAAAAGCATATTAAGACAGCTCAATAGCATGTGATTTGCAGTGTCTAAAAACTTCAATTTTTACTTTATCCTTACTCATACGTTATTGCTTATCTGCCTTTGTTCTGAGGCGAAGTGGAAACCTCTGTTCCATTGTTCCCTAGTGAACAGTCTAAAAATAGCTCCCCTCAACTGGGCCTCTGCCTTCCCACGCCAGCTTCTCACGCCAGCTTCTCACGCCAGCTTCTCACGCCAGCTTCTCACGCCAGCTTCTCACGTGACCATAGGCTGCTTGTCACTCTCTCCATTATAGCGCCCAAGCTATTTTTATGACCAACGTCAAATAGTGGAGAGCGGGGACAGCTGGGAGGGCCCTTAAGACCATGAGTCAAGATTAGACTGTTTGATAGGGCAGAAGTTTCGACTACACCTCAGAAGAAAAGGGAGATAAGCAATAACGTGTGAGTAAGGAAAAGTATAAAATATTAATTTTATCATAAAAATCACATTATGCATCTTTTGGTCAAATGATTTTGAAGTTGATTCTGGATCTACAGATGATACCTAGAGTTATTTCCAGCGTTTGGTATACTTTCAGAATTATTTAAGATGAAACTCTGACATTGTGAGTTGGTTGGTTTGTGGTTTAATGCTACACTCAGCAATATTTCAGTTATATGGCGGCGGTCTGTAAATAATCCAGTCTGGACAAGACAATTCAGTGATCAACAGCATGAGCATCAATCTCTGCAATTGGGATACGATGACATGTGTCAACCAAGTCAGCGAGCCTGACCACCTGATCCCGTTAGTCGCCTCTCATGACAAGCATGGGTTGCTGAAGGCCAATTTTAACCCGGATCTTCACGGGTAGACATTATGAGTTGACAGTGGTGACCAACATCTGTCTGTCCATCTGTCTGTCCATTAAACATCTTTTCCATTTGAAGTATGAGCTTGAAACTGAGAATGCCAAGCACTATAACAGAACCCTGATTGTTTATTGAGTGGATATAAAAGTCGTTTTCCTCAACTGTGGAAAATTTTCAATTGTCATCATCTATTTTCAGTGCATGGGATGGGCGTGGTACCTTGCAAACGACATGCAGTTCTACGTTCTCAGTCCACTGATATTTGTGCCTCTCTATTTGTGAGTAAATGTTTTGTCTACTGAGCGATGTCTGTCTTTCAAGATCATACCAGTTCAGTGTTGGACTACAGTAGTTGCTGAGCCCACACGTTCCTGTCCTGATGGACTATATTTGTCTTTTCCGGTACCCAGTTATCAAATATGGTGTCATCAGGTATCACGATACAATATTGGTATTATTAAGTTGTGGTTGAATACCCAGATACTAAATATAGGAGGTTTGGTTGTCAACCTGTACCATGGCGCTAAATACCCAGATACTAAATATAGGGGGTTGTGTTGTCAACCCGTACCATGGCGCTAAATACCCAGATACTAAATATAGGAGGTTTGGTTGTCAACCTGTACCATGGCACTAAATACCCAGATACTAAATATAGGAGGTTTGGTTGTCAACCTGTACCATGGCACTAAATACCCAGATACTAAATATAGGGGGTTTGGTTGTCAACCCCATGGCACTAAATACCAAGATACTAAATATAGGGAGGTTTGGTTGTCAACCGGTACCATGGTGATAAATACCCAGATACTAAATATAGGAGGTTTGGTTGTCATACTGACACTAAATAGATACTAAATATAGGGGTTTGGTTGTCAACCCGTACCATGGCACTAAATACCCATGGGGTTTTGGTTGTCAACACTAAATACCCAGATACTAAATATAGGAGGTTTGGTTGTCAACCCGTACCATGGCACTAAATACCCAGATACTAAATATAGGAGGTTTGGTTGTCAACCCGTACCATGGCTAAATACCCAGATACATATAGGTTTGGTAAACCTGTACCCAGATACTAAATATAGGAGGTTTGGTTGTCAACCTGTACCATGGCACTAAATACCCAGATACTAAATATAGGAGGTTTGGTTGTCAACCCGTACCATGGCACTAAATACCCAGATACTAAATATAGGAGGTTTGGTTGTCAACCCGTACCATGGCACTAAATACCCAGATACTAAATATAGGAGGTTTGGTTGTCAACCCGTACCATGGTGCTAAATACCCAGATACTAAATATAGGAGGTTTGGTTGTCAACCTGTACCATGACACTAAATACCCAGATACTAAATATAGGAGGTTTGGTTGTCAACCCGTACCATGGCACTAAATACCCAGATACTAAATATAGGAGGTTTGGTTGTCAACCCGTACCATGGCACTAAATACCCAGATACTAAATATAGGAGGTTTGGTTGTCAACCCGTACCATGGCACTAAATACCCAGATACTAAATATAGGAGGTTTGGTTGTCAACCCATTACCATGGCACTAAATACCCAGATACTAAATATAGGGGTACCTGTACCATGGCACTAAATACCCAGATACTAAATATAGGAGGTTGGTTGTACCGGTTCAGACGTGAAACCGATATGTATTGTGATACAGCTGATCGAAAACCGGTATTTTGACTAGCATTCGGAAAACTTCAGTGAATCTCTCAGAAATCTTCGGATATTTCCATTGTTTACATTGTTCCTTTCCTAGTTTCATTTGTGCCAACATTATTTACATTTTTATTTTGTCATGATTAAAAGCTTTTTATTAAAGCCAAGTCAAGCATCGTGATTTTGTTGTGTTTTTGCTTTGTAAATCAAGCATTAACTCGATTATAAGTAGTTTTTGTTGAAGAAAACTTCTTGCAATATATTGCAATACATATCGCAATACATGCTTTTGCGTCACAATTTATCGCAATGTGAAAATTCCTTGCAATACTCACTCACCCCTAATAGGATGAAATACTTTGTGTCATTTAAACCATAATGTTGCAGCTCCTCGGTGTTGGGTGCCGTTGCTGCCGGAGTGTTCCTTCTGGCGACGTTCATCACTACAGGCGTCATCACTAGCTACTACTCCATCCCTGCAGGCATCACTGAGTTGATGACTCAAGCCCCAGGGTAAGTAGGAAATAGTCACACTGTGGAGATGACAGCTACTAGCTACTACTCCATCCCTGCAGGCATCACCGAGTTGATGACTCAAGCCCCAGGGTAAGTAGGAAATAGTCACACTGTGGAGATGACAGCTACTAGCTACTACTCCATCCCTGCAGACATCACTGAGTTGACTCAAGCCCCAGGGTAAGTAGGAAATAGTCACACTGTGGAGATGACAGCTACTAGCTACTACTCCATCCCTGCAGGCATCACCGAGTTGATGACTCAAGCCCCAGGGTAAGTAGGAAATAGTCACACTGTGGAGATGACAGCTACTAGCTACTACTCCATCCCTGCAGGCATCACCGAGTTGATGACTCAAGCCCCAGGGTAAGTAGGAAATAGTCACACTGTGGAGATGACAGCTACTAGCTACTACTCCATCCCTGCAGACATCACTGGGTTGACTCAAGCCCCAGGGTAAGTAGGAAATAGTCTCACTGTTGAGATCACAGCTACTAGCTACTACTCCATCCCTGCAGACATCACTGAGTTGATGACTCCAAGCCCCAGGAGTAAGTAGGAAATAGTCTCACTGTTGAGATCACAGCTACTAGCTACTACTCCATCCCTGCAGGCATCACTGAGTTGATGACTCAAGCCCCAGGGTAAGTAGGAAATAGTCACACTGTTCCAGATGACAGCTACTAGCTACTACTCCATCCCTGCAGGCATCACTGTGTTGATGGCCTCAAAGCCCCAGGGGAACAATAGTCAGGAAATACTCACACTGTTGGAGATCACAGCTACTAGCTAAGCCCACTCCATCCCTTGCAGACATCACTGGGCTACTGTAAGACATCACTGAGTTGATGACTCAAACCCAGGGTAGGAAAATTGGAAATAGTCACACTGTGGAGATCACAGCTACTAGCTACTTTACTCCATCCCACAGGGAGGCATCACTGAGTTGATGACTCAAGCCCCAGGGTAAGCAGGAAATAGTCACACTGTTGAGATCACAGCTACTAGCTACTACTCCATCCCAATGCAAGCCCCAGGCATCTCTTGAATCACAACATGCATGACTCACTGGATTATCTCTGAAGTCCGTAAGTAATGTAGTCTTGTGAACAACATATGTTTATATTGAAATCAGTTTTGTTTGAGTGTTTGAAACATTCAATCCATGTGCTCCGTGATCACAAAGACAGATGACTTTCCCTTGCAGGAGCGTGGACTATATGTCCAAGTACTATTATAAACCCTGGTGTCGGATGGGGCCCTATATCATCGGTCTGCTCGCTGGTTACATCCTATACAGAACCAAGTGCAAGATCAGGATGAACAGGGTGAGAATCTTCATATAAAAGTGAAATAATGTGAAAATATCAAATCGGACATTTTCCAACCTTGGATAGAATCTTGGCCTAAAAATTGATTTCATGTGAAGTCACAGTCTTTACTACTTTTCGTTTCTGTACGTCTACTCAGTGATATCGTTACTAACGATGTTATTATTATAACCAGGATATTTAAAATTGGAAACTAAAAATATGTTTGATAAATATTTCAGGAAAATTTGAAGTCAAGTTAAGAAGTGTCATTGTGCTTGGAAAGTGCATTGACCAGAGTAACCAAATTCATATCGATTTCTCTTGCATACAACAAATCTAATAAGGGAGATGAGTGGAACATGTGGATTGGGTGACTCATATACCATTTAGGAAATTACTGGTCATTAAGATACTAAGAATCAGGATATCAACACACATGATAATTCAATTTAGTGTCTTCTGGCGCCTGCCTGTCTGAAGGTTTATTTGGTTGAATGCTTCACAAATGACTTAAGCTCACTAACGAAGTAAATTCATAATGGAAGAATTTGATTGTACCGATTAAGTCTTGGGAAGAAAAATGAAATTAATTAGTTGTGCAGCTGAGATAAGTCATTTTTTATATGATGTAGGACATTATTTCAGGGGGAGGAGCCAAAATAGTCAGGAGTTCTATTTTGTTAAGTTGTCTGGTGAGTGGTGAGCGATTTTGGGCCCCACCGTTGACTTGAGAGGTTCTCTCTGTATATTGAGAGAATGGCTCAGATGAACTTATAGCGTTAGGAGTTGTACAAGGAATCAACACGTTCTTCCATTGAAGTTTGTGAATCTGTGTTGTGTGTAGACCAGGAAAACTAGGCAATATCTGAGGACCTTTGTGTGAGAATTCATTCCAGACTACTAGTAAATGGATTTGAACAACATACCGGACTTATCTTTAAATATCCATCTTAGCTACATCACCCCCAGAACAAGAGTGGATAGACAGATTGCCTAGGGAGAAGGGCACACCCTCAGGTAACACTGTATTATCTAGTGACATATTACTACCTACACAATAGGGCTTCATGGTATTACTGGTATTCTGGTATTTCGCAATATGCTTTTCAAACAATATGTATTGCAATAGTTTCCCTGAGAACCGTTACATTGGGTGAAGAACATATAAAGTTTTTAGTGATTATCCTTAATACACAAGTTAATCATGACCCACAGATATGCCATATGCTAAAAATAGCAATCTTCATCTACGGCCCATTGTATGCAACATGACACACTCCAAGTTCAATTACATGTCAGGTTTCCACGAGGAAAACACAAAAATCTAGTTTCCATAAATTATTACGTAATCAGTACATGCCAAAACTATTATCTAACATTTATATAAAGTTTGAGTAGAGTCAAAGAGAAAGTCTTGTGAGCTGCTGATCCTTGTCACATTATATATATCAATATCAGTCATTTTCCATGTCCCAAAGTGGGAAGCGGGGGTATGTGAGCTTTGCTCACTTCTACACTTATTATCTTTATATTTTAATTAAAATTTTATTCACAACAAATGTTTTCCTTCATTATTCTATGACAAAACGTCAAACTATAAAACTATGTTGTATAAAAAGGAATAGAAGCCCTGACAATACAACCTAACTTTCTGATTGCTGTTATAAGAACCATAGCACATATGTTTAGGGGATCTACTTATAATGTAGAAAATAGGATCGACAAGCACAATTAGTGTCAGTGAGTGAGTGAGTTTGGTTTTCGCGCTGCCTTTTTAGCAATATTCCAGCAATATCACGGCAGAGGACACCAGAAATGGGCTTCACACATACCATTAGTGTCACTCACTGTCAAACACTTATGGTCCCATATATATATATCTTAATACATATCTCAATATGGGTACCTGAATTTCAATATATAGCAATACATATCTCAATATGGGTACCTGAATTTCAATATATAGCAATACATATCTCAATATGGGTACCTGAATTTCAATATATAGCAATACATATCTCAATATGGGTACCTGAATTTCAATATATCGCAATACATATCTCAATATGGGTACCTGAATTTCAATATATAGCAATACATATCTCAATATGGGTACCTGAATTTCAATATATAGCAATACATATCTCAATATGGGTACCTGAATTTCAATATATAGCAATACATATCTCAATATGGGTACCTGTATTTCAATATATCATAATACATATCTCAATATGGGTACCTGAATTTCAATATATAGCAATACATATCTCAATATGGGTACCTGAATTTCAATATATAGCAATACATATCTCAATATGGGTACCTGAATTTCAATATATCGCAATACATATCTCAATATGGGTACCTGAATTTCAATATATCATAATACATATCTCAATATGGGTACCTGAATTTCAATATATAGCAATACATATCTCAATATGGGTACCTGAATTTCAATATATTGCAATACATATCTCAATATGGGTACCCTGAATTTCAATATATCATATCACATCTCTCAATATGGGTACCTGAATTTCAATATATAGCAATACATATCTCAATATGGGTACCTGAATTTCAATATATCATGCAATACATATCTCAATATGGGTACCTGAATTTCAATATATAGCAATACATATCTCAATATGGGTACCTGAATTTCAATATATCATGATACATATCTCAATATGGGTACCTGTATTTCAATATATAGCAATACATATCTCAATATGGGTACCTGAATTTCAATATATCATATATACAATCTCAATATGGGTAACTGTATTTCAATATATACATGATACATATCTCAATATGGGTACCTGTATTTCAATATATCGCAGTACATATCTCAAAATGGGTACCTGTATTTCAATATATCGCAGTACATATCTCAAAATGGGTACCTGTATTTCAATATATCGCAGTACATATCTCAAAATGGGTACCTGTATTTCAATATATCGCAGTACATATCTCAATATGGGTACCTGTATTTCAATATATAGCAGTACATATCTCAATATGGGTACCTGTATTTCAATATATCGCAATACATATCTCAATATGGGTACCTGAATTTCAATATATAGCAATACATATCTCAATATGGGTACCTGTATTTCAATATATCGCAGTATACATATCTCAATATGGGTACCTGAATTTCAATATATAGCAATACATATCTCAAAATGGGTACCTGAATTTCAATATATCTAATACATATCTCAATATGGGTACCTGTATTTCAATATATCATGATACATATCTCAAAATGGGACCTGAATTTCAATATATCATAATACATATCTCAAAATGGGTACCTGTATTTCAATATATCGCAGATGGCTATATCTCAAAGATGGGTACCTGAATTTCAATATATCATGTACATATCTTAAAATGGGTGCCTGAGATTTCAATATATTGCAATACATATCTCAAAATGGGTACCTGTATTTCAATATATCGCAATACATATCTCAAAATGGGTACCTGAATTTCAATATATTGCAATACATATCTCAAAATCGGTACCTGAATTTCAATATATTGCAATACATATCTCAAAATGGGTACCTGAATTCAATATATTGCAATACAATTTATTTGCCAATACAGAGTGCTACTACACAAATAATTGTT